GCAAACCAACCGGCTACCATGAGAGATTCGTTCATGAGGCCATTCACATATACAAGCACAGAGACAATTTCAACCGAGAAGATGGATTCTGGCTTAGTAACCATTGGAAAGATGTTTTAAACCATTTCCATTCTTAATTAATTGTATTTTACGATGACCTTCAGACCGCAGCTCTTTCACCAGCATTGACTCTTAATACCTCTCACACCACGGTTAATGGTATGGTTTACAACATGGAGTATAATAGCGCCTCGCAGCTGTCTCTCTCCCCCTCCTCTGTTCCGACCTTGGATGAACTCGTCCGTCTGAACGGGGCCTGTAGCTATCCGTGTTGCTAAAGTTGAGGGTAAGAATCCACCCATTTTTTCGCCATATAGCATTGTGATATATAACGACTTATTGTTGGTAGGTTAGCTGATTGGAGAATATAGTGTTTATTGATAACATTAAGGTAATTTATATTTTAGTTTTTTATTGGTTCACTATATAGCATTATACATTTATTGGTTCACTATATAGTATTATACATTGTATTGTATACCCAGTTACTGTGAATAGCTCAGATGTGTAGACCTCGACTTCAACATAGCCATTTCTGTGACCAGTCACAAGCTAATCACTCAGTTATCTCAATGCTAAATTCGCCTAGTTATTTCAATGCTAAATTCTCCTGTTTGATTTGTACTAGGTGCCTCGGTGAATGTGTATGCTCTGACTTTAAACATAGCTATTTCTGTGACCAGTTACAAGCTAATCACTCAGCTATTTCAATGCTAAATTCTATGCTAATTCCTTTGTCAAGGGGTGCCTCTGCGGATGTGTATGCTTTAACTTAGCTATTTCAATGCTAAATTCTATGCTAATTCCTTTGTCAAGGGGTGCCTCTGCTGATGTGTATGCTTCAACTTTAACATAGCCATTTCTGTGACCAGTCACAAGCTAATCACTCGGCCATTTCAATGCTAAATGACATGCTAATTCCCTTGTCAAGGCGCTTTGTTTCTTCTGACACAGCTTAAAGGTCGTGATCTGAACGTGGCTTTTTTCACTCCAGTGCTGTCCTACCAGACAGTCTCGTCCCTTCACCTGATGAAGGCCACTTGTGTTGTGGCCGAAACGTCGTGAGAATATTATTGTGTTATTTTATTTTATCAATTTATTATTTTATTCTCATTCTACGTGACTTTACCGAAAGAACCAAAGAAGATGAATCCTTGCAGTCACGAAAGCTTTAAATCGAAAAGCCCTCTGATGTTGACATGTAGAACACCGCAGTATTGTTTCCCTTCAACGTGACTTTACCAAAAGAGCTAAGAATATGTAGAACACCAACACTTTTCCTCCCAGAAAAATCTACAGAATTATACGAGTTCTTTTCATTTGGGCCAGGATGAAGCTCAATACCACCCAGAAATAAGAAAAGTAGAATTAATAGAATTCATAGTTTGCACAAGTATTTTCTGTGAAAGGATGAAGAGCGGCGAACCTTGGACGAATAGCAGTAGCTCACAGATGGTGTTATTTTAAGAGCAGAATTAAGTTTGGAAGGAGTGCTGGTGAAGTAATGGGACAAAGATAGGGTTTAAAAGGATACAATGATGGAGTGTAGAAGTGTCTATGAGCTGTTTCATTAGCAGGTGTAGTGGCAAATCGAGCAACAAGTATGGACGCAAAGTAACGAGGGTAGCTGTTTGTAGAGTTGATTGTGGCACTAGATACGGCCGGGAGGGACATCAGTAGGATACACAGCAGGAGAATTGCCATCTCTAAAATATCCGGGGTAAACAGATTAACACACAAGGGGAAAAGAAAATATATATACTTGTAGGCCGAGTGCAATAAAAACGTCTTGCCGCACTGTCCATGCATTGGCTCAGGGCCACCAATGGAGGTGGCACTAACATTTTTTATTTGAGTTTGACTATTTGGAAATATTTCTGGGGAGCTGTGTCCAGCTGATATTAAATTTCACGTCAGTTGAAACCTCGCCCGTGTTTACATGTTTAATTAATAACATTTTTCAATTCATTATGTTCCGTGCGCACCACTTAATGTCCTGTCGTTTTTGCACTAAACACCATATAACTGCGTTCTAACATTCTATGCATTCAATTTGGTTGCTCATTTGTTTTTTCGTTTAATAATTATATTTTGCCAATCCCGAGTCAGAAGGAAGAATGTAAGTCATGAATTCATCAGTATAAGGTGTTACCACACGGCAGAAGGCCATGCAGAAGGCCATGCAGACGGCGCAGCCCTACGATTGCTTACTCGTGCCCTTTAAAGGGTATTTGGCCTACTCTTCCAGGCTGGCCAGGCATCTTGGAAGAGGTGGAGGTATCCACACTTTAAACCACCACACATGACCTGCCGATTGATTTACTGTGGTGTAACCATTTACATTTTAAGGGTGGACAGCGGAGCGGGATTTAGAAATTTGCACCACTGTTTCAAATGCTACGCTCGGAGATCGAACCGGCAACCTCTGCATTGCCCAGTATGCTAAACAGTGTGATATCCATTTCGGTGCACTAACCATTACACCATGGCAGCATCTACCATCATGTACACCACACGTTGAAGGAGGGAACGCGCACAGCATTATCCTCTGCATACTGAACACAAGGATTCAAACGAGAATTACGTAGGGCCGAGCGATAATCTGAGTGCCACACAACAAATCACCTTTTGCGTGAGCACGCTGTCCTGCCATGAGCTATTCCTTGAGGTTAGCGTGGCATTTTGCCTTCCCCGCACTCCCCTGGCTATCAGCCTTCAGCCATCATTAGCGATGACACAGCCACCCTCCATGGGGAAAGTGTAGATTAACAATTCCTAATCTAAAATATGCCGAGAGTGTTCAATTAGCAGTAGCAATTTTACACCACGAAAGGGAAGAAAGTTTTGTGTTTTTACTTACCATAACACGTTTAATGGACTAAACGTGTCTCTGCACCTAAATGAACAATGGTGAGGAGACCATCTTTGCTGGTGACCTTAAATTTTTTTTATAAATTCCACATTCCCTTGGCAGGCCAAATTTCTCCAACAGGACGAAATGTATATATACCATATATAATAACCTTAAATGTTAAATAGGATTAAATACGAATTGTCGTGTATATACCACATATATAAAAACCTTAAATGTTAAATAGGATTAAATACGAATTGTCTCAATCATGTATTTTCATGCTAATCACAAGAACACAATTATTAGTGAATGGTTGTTTAGTATATATTTTATCTTCTTAAGAAACGTGGCACCAGAAACAGGAGTCTAACTTTACTTGAGGGCAACGTCACAATGAGAACCCAGCAGAAATGCCTTGAGGTTGGCTCATGATGTCCAGGAGACACCACATACTCCAGGTGCTCGTTATACTGCTCAGCTGCACTGCACCAGGCACAGAACAAGAGGCTAAACAAACATCAGCCACCCTTATCTCCAAAAAAGGATAGATTGCAAGGTCTCCATCGTCTCACAAAAGAGAGAGAGAGAGCAGTTCTCTTTCTATGGAAAAGATCCAATAAGAATTAAAATGATTAATTAGTATACATTGGTCCATTAATAATACGAGTATATGAGTGGTCTGCTTTGGGAGGAGAGACGCGAAGAGGAGAAGAGGAGGCCAGACAAAGGGCCCAGAATAAGCAAAATGGCCAGAAGAGGTTCCAGAGGTTGGCCGGAGCCCAGAGAGCGGCCGGAGGGGCCAAAGAGCCAGGGCCAGCCCTGGTGTCCGTGTTGGCCGGGTAGAGTGTGCTCCCCCTGTACCTGTGAGGCTGCTCTCGGTCCACATTGCGAATTGCACGAGAACGGCAGAAACGCCGATTGACCACTCAGAGGTATAGTGGTAAAGCAGTGGAGATGCTAAATTCTGATTTCAAGATTGTACAGTTGTTGAATAGAGCCGATACATACGGCAAGTTATATTAAGTAGACTCAAAGCGAGCATTGAAGAAGAAATATTGAGTGGAAAAAGAGAAGACATTTGTCGACTGGAGAAGGAAAGGCATTACTTTTGAGAAGGAAGAGAAGTTAACATAGCACCGAAACGTGCTATTGGGTCACGTGCCGTGGATCACATGAGCTAAATAAAAAGTGACTGTAAACCAAGAAGTCCGTCAATAATCATCACGGTGAAGATGCGTCTGTACATCGGACATCGAAGAAACAAGAACAGCATCATAATTGTTCTACATGTCGTCAAGACCCTACAACACACCTGGCAGGTCACCGGCTGCATCAACCACCAGGCTGCTGCTAACTGTGTCGTCACCCATCAAGCTGCTGTCTGCGCCTTTCGAGAGACACCACCGTATGTGATGGGTTCTCTTTCAACAGCACAGAAGACTCCGACATGTCTGCCGTGTCACCTTCTAAACGTGAGCGTGAGAAACCACCTGTTACAGACTATGAAGTTTAATTTGTGTAACAATATCGAGTATTCTTTGAACCGAATGTCAGTTGCATATTTGATGACTGGTCCTCTGACCTTTAATAAATAAGACACTTGTTTGTATTAAAAACTGTCTCTGTGTGTGTGGTTGAACAGTGTGTCAAATCCATCCGTTACATGTGAGACATCAAAGAATCTGCACTAAGGTTGGCTTGTCATTGTGTAAAATAAATCAATCATGCCCTAGACAAATCAAAGATTACAATAAATGACATATACCTGCCAGAACAACACAACACCACAATCATTTGATCGACATGGGAGGTATGACAAGTTATGTCAATTCCCGATCAAGTACATCGACAACACTAACCAGATGACCACCAGGCCAGAATGTGGTTAAGTGCAAGGGGCGTGTGAGGCAGGCGGGGAGGGGGCATGTAGACAGTGACTCACCTGGTTCCACTCCGATGTTCGGCTTGCAAAGCCAGTAGCTTTGGTTGTGCACAGATACAGACAGTGACTCACCTGGTTCCACTCCAATGTATGGCTTCCCTAGCCAGTAGCTTTGGTTGTGCACAGACATAGACAATGACTCACCCGGTCCTACTCCGATGTACGGCTTCCCCAGCCAGTAGCTTTGGTTGTGTACAGATGCGGCTCCCTGGTAAGAAAGATGACAAGCGGACGTGTTTCACACGCATCGCATCCACACTCTCAAATGCCCCGCGCTTATCAATCAATATATGCATTCCATCATTTAGAATCATGCTGGCATTGAGAGACGACCAAGATTGGCAACGAACGTTATTTATTTATACTGGAGGAATCCGGTGAGCTATAAAGCTCTTTTTCACAGATGTCCAGTTGGGACGGGTCCAGAAGGGGCAGAATGAAGGCTAAAGAGATGAAAAAGGAACCGTTATGATGTAAATCACAATAACGAGTTAAAAATGTATCATGTACAACTGAAAAGAATTAGACGGACAAGAAAATTAGTTTAGAGATTTCTAAATTCCAATAAGATTGGGTCAAAAATGTCACTCATAGGTTTTTTTTACCTTGTTCAAAGGTCACAGGTCGTACATAGCTCATCATTAATACTAAACGTTGCTAGTTGGTTTGGGTCAGAATGAGCCTTTCGTTAACTCTGCACAAGGAACATTACCAAAGTTCTGTGACAAACACTCACAGGTGCACAGATAAAGTTGCAAGTGTTTTTGCTGCACGGGAGCAATGGGAAGTTACCAGTCATGCATACAGATGTCTAGCCACGTTACAGAAGGGACATAATTTGTGAATTGGTCATTGCCGCTAAATGGCCAAATTGGTCTGCGACATCAACACACAATGGGCTTAGTGTTCAGATTGAAGCAGCAGGGGCTAATGGTTCCATTGCACCCAATGACGTGCACCCAGGCATTACAGGGCTATTGGTGGCCCGCAAAGTCTCAGTGCCAAATGCACGCGCCAAGCACAGCTTAATATAGGAGACGTTAATGACACCCAATGTACTGTGTAATTCAAATTCTTCATGTGCTTTCCTAGCCGATAATAGGGAATGATAATATGTAAATATAATGCAACGATGCATTCATTAATATAAATTCTCAAGTTCACCAAGATACAGGTATCAGACAATGTGCCACAATGGATGTTTATTATGCATATGTTGTATGCAATGGGTCCATGTCACCTCTGCAGCCACCCGAAGCATGACCATTCACCACAATATAAAAAAAGGAATGAAATCTGCAATTAAATCATGACCCTCAATTGTGGCACTGCATCTACCACTAGTAAATATACAGGTTAATATGTGGATATAAAATGTATTTACTTATGCCTTACCCACATTCCACCACAAGAGCATATCACTAATTTGTACAATGTTGTTCTACTACAAGAAATATGACTTTGGGTTCCACAGCGCATGTGAATGCCTCTTGCCTACACAGCAGGTAAGCCATCGGCATGTATTTTATAGGCCATACCCTTCGGGTGAGACTCAAAAGATGCTGAAACCATGTCAGCATTTGTATTTTTTATTTAATTATGTTTAATTATTATTTTATTATTTCCCTTCTACGTGACTTTACCGAAAGAACCAAGAAGAACATGTCGCATTTGCTCAGAGCTTCAACAAAATCGTCTTGAAAACAATGGATCTATGGCTTCGATTAATTCAATATGATTTTGCTCCGACTATGTCGCTCTCCTATATGCTAATTAATTCATTTTGTATGCAGTGTCCTATTCCCGGCCACATGAGTGGCGTGTCGCAACTCCTGTGATTTGGGAAACGGAAAAAATGACGGGTGACGCTCGCGCACTCTCTCTGTTGTGGCGATTGTGCAGGAACGATCAGTCCCTGACGAGAGGCATCGAACATTAATCCACTCCTTCACGCGCTCGCAGCTATAATTGGGCACCAGAGCAATAAATCCGCAACTCCAGGAGGGATACGCGAATACAGCAGATGTCCACTCACCCGGCCTAGATAATGCGGATCACCCATTAATCCGGACAGGGTTCAGCTATTAAATAAAACACGAGTGAACATCGTATGAAAACAATGACTTTGTTTTGCCATGTGCTTATGCTTTTCAATTACAATTGATTAAATTTGCAGTCAATACGCTGCGCTTAAAAATATAATTATATTTTTCTATTCTATTTTGGATTTATAAAGCGCCTTTCACCAAGGCGCTTGATACTGCTTACCGACTACAGTACAAAATAGCAAGATAAGGATAAGGGATGGAGATCGGGTAGTGACTAGAGTGGAGGGAGCGAGGTGGAGGCTGCCGTGATGGAGGCATTAGGTGCGTAACGTGGTGCTGGTTGAGGTGGCGGAAGAGGAAGGGAAAAGGCAAGAGAGAAGAGATAGGACCTGAGGGCAGTGCGAAAAATGGAAAGCGAGGGGCAGATTCGGATGTGGAGAAGAAGATTGTTCCAGTGTAAGGGGGCAAGCAGAGAGAAGGAGCGAAAGTGAGATTTGGCGCAGGGTGGAGCAGGGACAGCAAGAAGAAAGGCAGCTTGTGACTGGAGTAGGCGTGATGGGACATATAAGGAAATGAGAGAAGAGAGGTAAGGGGGGCCAGTCTGTGCAAAGCTTTGAAAATTAAGGTGAGCAATTTAAAGAGGCAGCGGTTATTGATAGGAAGCAAGTGAAGTTGTTGAAGGAGAGGGGAGCAATGACTGGCGAAGGGGAGGTTAAAGGTGGCGGTGCGTGCAGCCGAGTTTTGAATTTATTGTCGAGGGGCAAGGGCGTAGGCAGGGAGACCAACCAGAAGCGAGTTACAATAATCCAGACGCGTAAAGACAAGGGAGTGCACAAGAAGTTTGGCAGCGGTGATGTTGACGAGGGGGCGAATTTTCCTGATATTGAAAATATGGAAGCGGCATGTGCGAGTGGTGTTGGCGATGTGGAAGGTAAAGGAAAATGAGGAATCAAGGGTGACGCCAAGAATTTCCCTGCTCCAATACGGCAGCACTCATCTCCTATGATGGTACGGAACTGGTGGTGGAAATGACAGCCACATGGCAGGGGACCAAACATCCACAAAACAAACATGTTTGGCTCACTACAAAGTAGTTACCATTTTATCGAGTTTGGAAGGATGATTGGCCACGTCGACCTATGAGCGAAATTCGAACGCGTGACCTTCGGACTTTTTTGAGTCAAAAATCCTGACCACATCATTGTTTCTACAGTGTTATGGCTCGACCTGCTGTCGTGCCACAGTCGGTACCTTTGGCACATATTTTTTTGCAGCTTTACTTCACCGCTCATCTATGTGGAATGCTCCCAAACCTCGTAAATGTTCACACAATGGCTATAAATGACCACGGCAGTTACAAAAATGACGATATGCAAGGATCAAGTGAAAGAGGGAACACGTGGGAACCTGGAGCCACGCTGCGTACAGTGATCACAGTGCGTGTGCGTGCACTGTGGCACGACATGTCGTGCGATTATTATTTATCGGATTTTGCTCCACAATTCATATGAAAACAAGGATCTCGTCCCATTTCATCCAGGTTAGTGAAAGCAAAATGTAGCTTCAACACCGGTGCAGCCCAATCCGAAGCCCGAATAAATAAATGCACATTTACAGCCCTCTGGTCAATCTGCTGCTGGATGAGGGCATCCCAATGCCATGCAGAACATGGGGGTAATTTGCCCATATTTCACCAAGCTTGTCGGTACAGGTTGGTGAAGCTGAGCTGAAGCAGAAGGAAGAAGGCATTTTTCACGATGACTCCTGTATAGTTTCCCAAAATGGGGTTAATTTAGCGCTTCCAATCGATCACTTCCACCGACTTGTTATCTGTGGAGAAGCACAGATAATAGGAAGAATCAATGTGCAGATACAGTTATAGATTCTTCTGAGGATCAATTCAAGGGAGCGGATAATAGGAAGGTGGCTAAGCATTCAGGAATACTTGATAGTTTCATTATCAGACACAATACCTGGAAAAACTGTAGTTGAAAAATACAGAACAGCGTAATTCAACCTGAAAAACACGCTGCTTTAAATCAAGCATAAATTCACCTGAAAACAAGTGTAAGTCGTGTACATGTGCCAGCTAAGGGCAGCTAGCTTTATCCCCATTGTTTTTAATGGAGGGCAAAATGTAAATGCGCCAAAAACCGCCACTTTAGAGGAAACGTTTAATAGGGAGCCAACTGCAAGATTAATGCTGCACACACAATCCCACCAGAGGGGCTAAGTGTGCAGAGCCCTTGAGGTAAACAGCTCACCTCCCATAAACAACAATTTCTTAGAATGCTCAATTTTTTTCACCCATATCACAAAGGTCCTTCCCCACTGGAAAGCTGTCCACTTATTTAAAGATTAAAGGTGCAGCTCTGTAATGTATTTTGCACACCACTGCTGGTAGAAGGGTTGTCACTCTAGGGAGATTTAGAGAGCTCATCTAGAGGAAGGATATTTTGGCCTACTCTGTTTGGTCGACAGACATCTTTGAAGAAATGGGAGTATCCACACTATCTCATCACAAACAGCGTGCCAATCATTTACCCATTTAAACTGCCGGATAGAGGCGGTTGATGGGGGGTGATTTGAGTATAGTGGTGGCGATGTTGTTGGCAGATGTGTGCCAGAATGCGCCACGTCTTTAAGCAAAAATACATTTTAATTGATTTGATTTAAGAAACTAGCACAATTATTTCAATTTCTACGTACTGGGTGGTCGAACCGGCCACCTCCAAATAATAAGTCCAGTGCGATGACCATTACACCCCTCGGCAGCCATCCACTCAATGTGTTTGTTGTGCAGTATTTAGCGATGCGTGGAGAAGTGCCCTTGTCAGGATAATTTTGTGAACGGTTTCACAGCAAAGTGTTCGGCTTCACCTGCGATCTGCAAAGACCGCACTTGCGAGCTATTGAACTATTTTTTTTATTTCACGAAGTAAGGCCCACTGAGCTATATAACTCTTTTTCAGAAGCGACCTGGCCCTCACAAATAATAGTTCAAAGTGACTTATCAAGCGGAAATGTATAAGCAGCCAAATACTCTGAAGGCATGTTGATTCTAAATGTGGAGGGAAAAATCATAAGACTCAGAAGAAATCGACACGACCACGAGGAAAACATGCAAACTCCAAATATACAGCAGGCGTCAGGGTTGGGATCGAACCCACAACCTCCTGTATGCCAGGCGAGGTAGTTAACATCTCCGAGCCAACGTGGCGCACCACAGTGGCGAGCATTTCGCTAAACCCTGCCCTGGTTGGGTGCGGGCAAACAAAGTGAATGTGCTTTTCCCGGAAGAGAATTAATCATTTAGAGCCCCTGTAAAGAAAACGTATTTTAAATCTATCTCAAGAATGAAATCAAACGCAACTGGGGTAGTTGGGTAGCTCAGGGTGGCCAAGTGCTGAAGTTAGGTCAGTAGGGCTGTGTCTTTGAGGTCATGTATGCAAGCTCCCTGGTTGTGTGGACGGTTTCAGTAAGTCACCAATAACAAGGGGAGCAGCCTCTGTGGGTGTCTGGACACCCACACATTATAAATATGGCGAAGAGGCAACGACAAAAGATTGGACAAAAATCATACCATTCAGAGTCTGCATTTTTCTCCCTTCAACAATGACAAAAATGCTGATTATGCTGTGACGGAAATTTGTAATACACAGGGGCGCACAAATAGCAGGCAGATCACTGAGTTAGTTGCAAGTAGTTTGAGTATATGTAATACAATTATAGTACAGTGGAACTCTTCTTATCTGTGGCGAAGTGAGGGGAGAAATGTGCGGGTCCTGTCTGTAATCTAATAAATAACCTCAAAAGTGTGGCTGAACCCCTGATAATAACTCAACAAAACATTTAATCCTGGAGTGGACAGTAGGTTCCATTAAGTTTGCAGTGTAAAAATGTCATCAGTAAAAGGGAGAACAGATTCTTGAGCAAGAGAAGCTCAATTTCACGCATGGTGGTAAAAGTGAGGTTTTAACATATCCCATTTAGATCGTTATGCGAACGAGACACTCGCTTGCAGAACTGTGAAGTGGCTAGATGGCAGTAGTGCAACTGGGTTCTAGCCCATCTGTGCAGACTTTGGAGTGTAATCTCCTTATATGTTAATTTTCTCCATGTATTCATTACACCCTCCTTCAAAAGGAATAAGTAAAACATTGCATGGACTTCCAAAAAATGTCTCCAGACCCAATGAGGCTTTCTTAGAGACATTAATATTCGTAGTCAAAGGGAAGCGCTCAATTAATTAACGAACGTGGAACACGCAGCAGCACAACAACAAAAAGTTCCGGCATCACCATTTGCACGTGGCACACACCTCCCTTGCAAAGTTGGACACCTCGTACTGGTGGAGTCCGGCCTGGGACAGGATTTCCCGGGCCGTGTTGTACATCTCGGCGCAGGCGTCCGCATCAGGCAGGGCTAGCGGCTCCCCTCGTGCGGCACGGGCGAACAACTCCGTGCCGCGCTCCAGCGTTAGCTGGTAGAGGGACACGTGCCCCAGCGTTGACGCTGACCCCAGCAACGCCCGTAGCTCCTGCTCCCAAGAATCGGGGTGCTGGCCTGGCCTCCCGAACATGAGGTCGGCCGACACGTGGCCTGGGAATACGGCGCTTGCCGTGGCTAGCGCCTGTACGCCCTCCTCCGCCGTGTGGTCTCGCCCAAGCGTCTTTAGGTCAGCATCGCTTAGAGCCTGGAGGAGGCAGAGGCGCAGATCATTCATTAAATATTTTTCTACAGTTACAATAAAACGCCTCCTTCGTCGCTGCCGCCTTCACGCGATAATTGCACAGCCGGACAGTTGTTGGCTGTCCCGGTCGACGCCGTCGGTGCAATGTGGTTAGGGTTGTGTCTAGGCTTGGCTGTACGGCAATGGAGGCGAGAAGGGAGGCGATCCTGTGTGTGAACAACCCCGAACAGAGTTACAAATAAAGAAGGAAGGTGCCTCCCGCAACTGCGTCGTCTCCGAGTTGTGCTACACTACACATGTATATATAGGTGGGTCATATTTAATGGAGAGGGCGTGTGTGTATTGTATGTAGTGTAGCGGTCAGCGGGTTGTGCTACAAACCCGGCAACCCGAGTTCGATTCCCGCTCACAGCTAAACACCAGTGACGATTATCTGAATCAGTTCTGGGCCTCCCCTAGGTCGCTTCAGCCTCAAATGAGTACCTGGTGCGGTGTGTAAACATCGCCACTAGGGAGACAAATGCGGCCGGCTGTGGTGCGGCCATCCACCCCCTTGTGTGCCGTCCCGGCCTTTATAGGTGCTCGCTAACAGCACTTGCCCCAACAGTCTAAGGCTATACGGGGGATCTTTGTCTTTGTATGTTGAACTTCTTTCACACCGTATGTATCCAACCTTTTTAATTAGAGGTGCGGGGGAAGGACAACAAACTAAACACAAAAAGCACTTCTAAACAAATGGGTTTTGAATATAGAAAAAAATGCATAGCTCCAGTGGCTTCCTAGTATCGGAAGATCATTCCAGACAGCCGCAAAAGCACATCCCAAAGCGCGCGATGCAGTGACCGACTTTGTTAGATGGTTAGCCAAAAGCCACTGTGAGGATAATTATAATCGAGTTTGAGTGATGGTTTATGCTCCTTGACGGGATCAGCAAGGTATTGTGGATCATTTGTGGCAAGCACTTTGTGTATATTGTTTCTAAGCACGTTTTGGCAGAATGAGTGGACGTGGCAATGTGCAATTCACAGGGAGAAGAGCAGGGGCAGCAGATGGGAGACTGACAGTAATTAAAGGTGTGTGCGTACACGTGTGTACGTTTGATTTTAGCTTTTTTTTGTCTTTTTTCCATTTGCCCTCTCGGTGACATGCCATTAGAGATTAAAATCTCTTGTGAAGCGATATAACCCTTCATGATAGAGAATGGTCAAGTGAAGCAGATACCACGAAGCTATCTCTGATATCCCATTCAAGTGAGTTCTTGTCCAAAAAATAGGGGCAAGCACTTTATCCGCTCACCAAGGCACTGAAAGTAATGTTCATCGCATGATAATCAAACTGATATTTAAAATATCTAAAAATTGTATTTAGCCAATTAACGTGTATCATCAATCATGTGTTTATTTTTTGTGCAATCATTGGTGATCAGGCTGAGACCATGAATTCACTCCACTTAAAAAAACAATTAAATAAGTGTTGGATCCAGCATAAATCTGGATCCAACACATGCTTTTCCCTCGTTTGCCCCCTCCTCCCCTCCTCTACTCTGTCCCCCCTTTTTCTCCAGTATGTTAGCTATCTTTCCCCTACCCTTTTCCCCTCCACAAATTAACTGTCATGCCCTCACTCGTGGTCCCCACCTGGGTGGGACACTGAGCCCAATACTCCCCCTTTTATTCAGCCCTGCCACTCCCAACTCGGCCTGCTGCTGTTGTTCATGGCATTTTTGTTCCCCCTCCGTTCTGTGATCGGCGCTTTGTACCGGGCTCGCATTGAGTTTCAATAGAAGCAATTTCTTAAAAAAATTCGATCCAACAACACAGGATCTCAGCTGTGTCTGCTCAGAGCTTCAACCTCTGAGCTAAGCAGGCACCTATGTGTCCATGCATATCACACGAGCGGCACATACCTGCAGACCGAGCGAGATGCGGTTGACCCCAGCGGCGCGGAAGTCCACGAGCCTCTGCGTCGCAGCGGAGCAGGGGTTCGCCTCCATAGAAACCTCGGCTCCAGCAGGGACCAGCGCCAGCCGAGACGCTGCCTCCAGCACGGCCGCCAGCGTCTGCGGCTCTGCCAGGCTTGGCGTGCCGCCCCCCACGAACACTGACGAGATCCTGCGATCGCGCACAGCGGCCAAAGCGTTCGGAAGGCCGCTGACTTCTAATTGGCGGTCGGGGACTGACTCGCCCTGTCTGTACTCTGTCGTTGATAACATTTCAAACTTTGTGTTGAAATTACTGGGGTTTAACAAAGTCGAGACTCCGCCTAAAGTTTTTGTGGTTGTACTGTATAGCGCTCTGATGTGTTTTCAGGTTGTTCGAAAAAGCTTTTAGCACAGAGGAAAATGTCGAACATCGTGCTGAGCAACACAAGTAACAACCAGAAAACACACTGAAGGGATAAAGTCGAGACTTATTTTAGAATTATACTCTTTGATTCTATTCTAGATTTAAAGCTTTCGTGACTGCTATGATCCATATTCTTTGGTTCTATTGGGTAAAGTCACGTAGGTGAAAATAAAATAACAAAAAATAACAAAAAATCATAACGTTTCGGCCACAACACAAGCGGCCTTCATCAGGTGAAGGGACGAGACTGTCTGGAGGACAGCGCTGGAGTGGAAGAAGCCACGCTTAGATCACGACCTTTAAGCTGTGTGAGAAGAAAAAGACCACGCGCCTTGACAAAGGAATTAGCATATAATTTAGCATTGAAATGGCTCATTGAAATAGCTAAGTTAAAGTATACACATCCGCAGAGGTACCCCTTGACAAAGGAATTAGCGCTGGAGTGGAAGAAGCCACGCTTAGATCACGACCTTTAAGCTGTGTGAGAAGAAAAAGGCCAAGTGCTTTGACAAAGGAATTAGCATATAATTTAGCATTGAAATGGCTCATTGAAATAGCTAAGTTAAAGTATACACATCCGCAGAGGTACCCCTTGACAAAGGAATTAGCATCGAATTTAGCATTGAAATAGCTGAGTGATTAGCTTGTAACTGGTCACAGAAATAGCTATATTTTGATTTAAAGCTTTCGTGACTGCAGTAATTCATATTCTTAGTTCTTTCGGTAAAGTCACGTTGAAGGGAAACAACAAAATAATAAAATATATATAAAACAATACAAATTCTCACGACGTTTCGACCATAACACAAAGACGACCGTTTGTGGTATGGTCGAAACGTCGTGATAATTTTTATTGTTTTATATATATTTTATTATTTTGTTGTTTCCCTTCAACGTGACTTTACCGAAAGAACTAAGAATAGAAATAGCTATGTTAAAGTTAGAGCATATACATTCACCGAGGCACCTAGTACTCATCAAACAGGAGAATTTAGCGAAACACAACCAAGCTCAGACATCGGACCTGTGTGCGAGCAAACAAGGTGTTCTGACAAAGAAATTAGCATAAAAATTAGCATTTGATTAGCGGATTTTAGGAAAGAGGTGGTGTACGTGCCGGTGGACTCGCAGTTTGGCGCGGGGGGGGGGAAAGGGGGGAGGGGGGAGTTTACCTATTTATGGTGTGAAAAGGGGGAATTTATAAGAGCTGCGAAAGTTTGGGGTACCACTACTTGAAAAATATACTGTACCATTGAAATTAGTTTAATGTTTAGTTCGATTTAGAACATCTTTCCAATGGTTGCTTAATTTGAAACCATCCTCTCGGTTGAAATTGTGTCTGTGTTTGTAGATCTGAATTGCTTCATGAACAAATCTCTGATAAAAGCCCGTGGGTTTGCAAAGAACCTTGGTATCGGAGAAAATTATATCGTGATCCCCCACAGCATTGTAACAGTGATCAGCCACGGCAGAAGAATTTGTTTTGCCGTGTTTCAAATCTGATTTGTGCTCGCGAATTCGGTCAGAGACATGTCGCTTTGTCTCACCGATGTAGCAATCACCGCAGGTACAACTCAATTTGTAAACCCCGGGGTACTGTAAATCAGGAATGACATCCTTCACGGATGGGATCAGATCACGAATTTTGTGTACTGTATTGAACCGGACCTGGATCTTGTGTTTGTTTAGAATTTTGGAAATCTTTTTAGTAACGCCTGCTATATATGTAAGTGTGATGGTTTTGACCGGAGTATCAAGTGGTTGTTTCTGTATGGAGGGAGAGACAGCTTGGCGAATGGTACGGTCAGAGCAACCATTCCTTTTGAGGGCCAGGTGTACATGTTTTAATTCACTGGTCAGGTGGTGTTGGTCCGAAATGCAATGAGCCCTATGGTATAAAGTTTGATGAGAGAATTCTTTTGGGCTGGGTGGTGGTGGGAATCAGGTTTCAAGTAGGAATCTGTGTGGGTGGGTTTCCTGTAGACAGAATGCCCCAATGAGCCATTAGGTCTCCTCTCAAACAGAACATCTAAGAATGGTAGCTTGCCATCTTTCTCCACTTCCATGGTGAATTTGATAGCGGGATGTTTGGAATTGATGTGGTGTAGGAAACGGTTCAGAGCTGGGAGGCCATGTGGCCAAATGACGAAAGTGTCATTCACATATCTCTTCCACAGGGAAGGTCTGAGGGTGGAAGTCTGGATGGCGTCTGATTCAAATTTCTCCATGAAAATATTGGCTATCACTGGTGATAAGGGGGATCCCATGGGGGTACCCTCATTTTGTTTGTAGAAGGAGCCATTCCAAGTAAAGTAGGTATTGTTGAGGCAGTGCCTAACCAATGCAGGTGTGTCGGGGTCTAGTCCATGTTGGACCAAATTTTCAAGTCACGTAGGTAAAAAATTAAAACAATTACCTACGTGACTTTACCGAATAGAACCAAAGAGTATGGATCCTTGCAGTCACGAAAGCTTCAAATCTAGAATTATTTTAGAATTTATTACAAATTGCTTGTAGGGGTGATGCAAACCTGTTAGATAGGTAAAACCATTGTTTTCTACACACGGAATTAACTGATTAATGAAATAATTGTTCCTCCCCTGCTTTTCACATTGGTGGGTGCGTGGGTGCGTGGGCGCGCGGGCACATGAGTGTGTAGGCTCACGTTGTTACACCGCTTGCGAGAAGCAACGACTCCAGCTCACGCACCAGGCACTTGCGCATGCGTGCGTGGTCCACGGAACGCGACACGTATTTATTGAAGTTGCAGTACGAGCATCGCCGCTCGCAGTAGGGCCACTTATCACGGGGGGAGCACAACAAGAGGCAAGCACGCAGGCATCATCATCAAAAGCAGCATCAGTATCATTGTCATTGTGTCGGTTTAAAATATATATCGTCCACTTGTGATTTCCTCAAACACAAACTCAACAAAACTGCAACGCAGTAGTGTCATCACACGTGGTGATGCCATGGGTTTTAGCATTAAACACAATTTGGAAGGGTATGATTTTAAATATCCCAGTTGGCGCGTTGACTCAGCCCTACATCACACTCTCCAGAATAAATAAAATGTAATTCCACTGTAGGAAGTGCAGTGTTCATTGATACATGAAATGTCCCTTGTTGCTGACTGACAACCACCAACAGAGATATGTTGCCTCATCACTTGCTTGACACTTTGTGTGATGGTTGAAAACATCAACCATGCATGGTGGTACACACCTAAAAAACGAAACCATTTTTTTTTATTTTATCAGCTAAGGCCCACTGAGCAATAGAGTTCATTCCTCAGAAGGGACCTGGCCACATATGATAGCTCAATGAAGTGGCTTATCATGTGGATATTTATAGCAGCCAAATACTCTCAAAGCATGTTTGTAATCTTCTTTGGTTCTTTCGGTAAAGTCACGTAGAATGAGAATAAAATAATAAATTGATAAAATAAAATAACACAATAATATTCTCACGACGTTTCGGCCACAACACAAGCGGCCTTCATCAGGTGAAGGGACGAGACTGTCTTGTAGAACAGCGCTGGAGTGAAAGAGCCACGTTCAGATCACGGCCTTTAAGCTGTGTGAGAGGAACAAAGCGCCTTGACAAAGGAATTAGCATATAATTTAGCATTGAAATGGCTGAATGATTAGCTTGTGACTGGTCACAGAAATAGCTATGTTAAAAGTTAAAGCATACACATCCGCAGAGGCACCCCTTGTTAAAGGAATTAGCATAGAATTTAGCATTGAAATAGCTAAGTTAAAGCATACACATCCGCAGAGGCACCCCTTGACAATGGAATTAGCATAGAATTTAGCACTGAAATAGCTGAGTGATTAGCTTGTAACTGCTCACAGAAATAGCTACGTTAAAGTCAGAGCATACACATTCACCGAGGCACTTAGTACAAATCAAACAGGAGAATTTAGCATTGAAATAACTAGGCGAATTTAGCATTGAAATAACTGAGTGATTAGCTAGTGACTGGTCACAGAAATGACTATGTTGAAGTCAAGGCCTACACATCTGAGCTATTCACAGTACTATATAGTGAACCAATAAAAACTAAAATATAAATTACCTTAATGTTATCAATAAACTCTATATTCTCCAATCAGCTAAGCTACCAACAATAAGTCGTTATATATCACAATGCTATATGGTGAAAAAATGGGTGGATTCTTACCCTCAACTTTAGCAACACGGATAGCTTAGAGTCGCGGGAGGGATTTCACACATCCTTAAGATCATTCAACAGACTCCGGGATAAGAAGGCTCAACTAATCGAGTCTCTCACCTTTCTGAAGAGATGCCGCGACTCTAAGCTATCCGTGTTGCTAAAGTTGAGGGTAAGAATCCACCCATTTTTTCGCCATATAGCATTGTGATATATAACGACTTATTGTTGGTAGCTTAGCTGATTGGAGAATATAGAGTTTATTGATAACATTAAGGTAATTTAAATTTTAGTTTTTTTTATTGGTTTACTATATAGTATTCATTATACATTGTATTGTATACCCAGTTACTGTGAATAGCTCAGATGTGTAGACCTTGACTTCAACATAGCCATTTCTGTGACCAGTCACTAGCTAATCACTCAGTTATTTCAATGCTAAATTCGCCTAGTTATTTCAATGCTAAATTCTCCTGTTTGATTTGTACTAGGTGCCTCGGTGAATGTGTATGCTCTGACTTTAAACATAGCTATTTCTGTGACCAGTTACAAGCTAATCACTCAGCTATTTCAATGCTAAATTCTATGCTAATTCCTTTGTCAAGGGGTGCCTCTGCGGATGTGTATGCTTTATCTTAGCTATTTCAATGCTAAATTCTATGCTAATTCCTTTGTCAAGGGGTGCCTCTGCAGATGTGTATGCTTTAACTTTAACATAGCCATTTCTGTGACCAGTCACAAGCTAATCACTCGGCCATTTCAATGCTAAATTATATGCTAATTCCTTTGTCAAGGCGCTTTGTTTCTTCTGACACAGCTTAAAGGTCGTGATCTGAACGTGGCTTTTTTCACTCCAGCGCTGTCCTACCAGACAGTCTCGTCCCTTCACCTGATGAAGGCCGCTTGTGTTGTGGCCAAAACGTCGTGAGAATATTATTGTGTTATTTTATTTTATCAATTTATTATTTTATTCTCATTCTACGTGACTTTACCGAAAGAACCAAAGAAGATGAATCCTTGCAGTCACGAAAGCTTTAAATCGAAACATGTTTGTAATGTGAGGGGGAAAACCTGAGGACACGGAGGAAAATCCACGCGACCACAGGGAGAACATGCAAACTCCCAATATACAGCAGGCGTCAGGATGGGAATCGAGCGCACGACCTCCTGTAGCACAGTAATGCATTAAGTAATGGGCCAAAGATTGCAGGATCCACCATTGATAAACATCTTCATTAAATAACAACTGGTTGAAGGAACCGCCACAACAATTTCCGATCCGAGGAAACTCTGCCGCCCAGTCACATGCGGGTGAAGATACGTAAATGTTATTTGGATCGCATGGAATGTCATCAATCACTCGCGTTAAATGAATTGCATTCAGGGAATGCGAGCCCTTTTGAAAATGCGCGTGGACCGATTTTGCGCCAAATTGCACCGATTCAATTGAATTTTGCATTTCACCACACTTCATTATCCGTATTCTTCCACAGGCTGCATTTAAACACAGAGGATTCTACCAAGTTATTGCTGAGGCTTCTAGCTGGAGTCATGAACCTCAACAAATTTCTGGCAAATAAAATGTAATATTGTATTAAATGTGTGCAAAGTACTTAGTACAAACTTTAAGGTCAACTTATGTGAAAAAAACAATTGAATGTAGCTATACATTTTTTTGGTAAAATATGATTCTACCACCTTGTGTTTTAATTCTACCAAGGATGTTTAAGAAATTAGGTAAATGAATACGACTACAGTGGATGCGTGACAACAGTGTGGTTGGCGATTATAACAAGAGCAACAGAACAATGGAAAATGAATATTTAATGATTGAGGTAGGGAGTTGTGTCGTGGGTTCAATTGAGGCACACACTTGAACTTGGAGGCAACACGGTTTATTAACTAACAACAACAGATAACTCTGATGTTAACATAATAACGTTCATAACTAACACTCGAGGGATAGCTACAGTGAGGGAAAACAGTATTTGATCCCCTGCTGATTTTGTACGTTTGCCCACTGACAAAGAAAGGATCAGTCTATAATTTTAATGGTAGGTTTATTTGAAAAGTGAGAGACAGAAAAACAACAAAAAAATCCAGAAAAACGCATGTCAAAAATGTTATAAATTAATTTGCATTTTAATGAGGGAAATAAGTATTTGACCCCCTCTCAATCAGAGAGATTTCTGGCTCCCAGGTGTCTTTTATACATGTAACCAGCTGAGATTAGGAGCACACTCTTAAAGGCAGTGCTCCTAATCTCAGCTTGTTACCTGTATAAAAGACACCTGTCCACAGAAGCAATCAATCAATCAGATTCCAAACTCTCCACCATGGCCAAGACCAAAGAGCTCTCCAAGGATGTCAGGGACAAGATTGTAGACCTACACAGGGCTGGAATGGGCTACAAGACCATTGCCAAGCAGCTTGGTGAGAAAGTGACAACAGTTGGTGCGATTATTCGCAAATGGAAGAAACACAAAAGAACTGTTAATCTTCCTCGGCCTGGGGCTCCATGCAAGATCTCACCTCGTGGAGTTGCAATGTTCATGAGAACGGTGAGGAATCAGCCCAGAACTACACGGGAGGATCTTGTCAATGATCTCAAGGCAGCTGGGACCATAGTCACCAAGAAAACAATTGGTAACACACTCCGCCGTGAAAGACTGAAATCCTGCAGCGCCCGCAAGGTTCCCCTGCTCAAGAAAGCACATATACATGTCCGTCTGAAGTTTGCCAATGAACATCTGAATGATTCAGAGGACAATTGGGTGAAAGTGTTGTGGTCAGATGAGACCAAAATGGAGCTCTTTGGCATCAACTCAACTCGCCGTGTTAGGAGGAGGAGGAATGCTGCTGATGACCCCAAGAACACCACCCCCACCGTCAAACATGGAGGTGGAAACATTATGCTTTGGGGGTGTGTTTCTGCTAAAGGGACAGGACAACTTCACCGCATCAAAGGGACGATGGACGGGGCCATGTACCATCAAATCTTGGGTGAGAACCTCCTTCTCTCAGCCAGGGCATTGAAAATGGGTCGTGGATGGGTATTCCAGCATGACAATGACCCAAAACACACGGCCAAGGCAACAAAGGAGTGGCTCAAGAAGAAGCACATTAAGGTCCTGGAGTGGCCTAGCCAGTCTCCAGACCTTAATCCCATAGAAAATCTGTGGAGGGAGCTGAAGGTTCGAGTTGCCAAACGTCAGCCTCGAAACCTTAATGACTTGGAGAAGATCTGCAAAGAGGAGTGAGACAAAATCCCTCCTGAGATGTGTGCAAACCTGGTGGCCAACTACAAGAAACGTCTGACCTCTGTGATTGCCAATAAGGGTTTTGCCACAAAGTACTAAGTCATGTTTTGCAGAGGGGTCAAATACTTATTCCCTCATTAAAATGCAAATCAATTTATAACATTTTTGACATGCGTTTTTCTGGTTTTTTTGTTTGTTATTCTGTCTCTCACTGTTCAAATGAACCTACCATTAAAATTATAGACTGATCATTTCTTTGTCAGTGGGCAAACGTACAAAATCAGCAGGGGATCAAATACTTTTTCCCCTCACTGTACATAACTGGACCAGGACAGCTTAACAGGCTACCTGGTCCACAAGCG